TTATCTGTTTTGAGCTCAATGTATGACATTTTGTCATTTGTATATAACATTATTTTGGAGTGCAACATAATTTATTACAGCATGCATGGAGTCACTCATAGCAACAAAAATACTCAAATCAATATCAAATGGAGTCTTCATCATCTCATCTCTCATAACTTGACCATGTTGACTCTCACATTATAAACCTGATAATCATTTGCAGTATAATCATAATGACAATTATTGTTCAGTTACTGTTTCCAGATAGTTATTTCTTTTCTTGATCAATGATTGTACAAATAGTTGAATTCTTTTCTTTCTCTCAGCAGCATAATGACTAATGAGTTCTTCTAGTACTGCTTCTGATAGTTCACCTTCTCCTCCTCCTCCTCCTCTTTCTTTATAATATTGTACCAATGCACAGTCTCTGTCTGATTTATACTGCTTGTCCTTCCTCTCAATGTACATGTACTCTCTTGCTACCTACTCATGTAGTATAAGGTAAAGTCTATACATTTATACATATACATTATCTAACAGTGTCCCTCTCCAACCACAACCAAAGCCAGCTGGCTATCACAGCAAAGCTTAGGAGTCAGCTACTAAATACAAGCAGCAATGTGTACACCACAAACTACATGTTCAAAGAGATACTGTGGTTTATATAGGCTTCCTCAATCCATAGTCCACTTATTGTGTTAAAACAGAGAGTGAGAAGGGGAAAAAGGGGTGGATGATACATACACTACACATGCAGCTATAGGATTCAATTAATTACTAACAAACCTTTATATTATTGTAATTCTGTTGGTATGTTAATATCGAAGAGAATAAATTCCAAACGGAAAACTCTGGCCACAACACATCTTGAAAACAAAGGCAAGAATAAGAGCTCTATTAATAATAATAAATAATATTATATTAATTAATTAATTAATTAATTAAAGATTACCTGCCATATAAGGAAGTCACTTAATCTCACTTCTCCTGAGGTCCTAATGACAAGATCAGGTGGTGTACATGTACCAGTATAAAGACATCTCTCCATTAACTCTTCACTGATATCTCTATAATGTAAATACATCTAAGTGTATGTATCACAGTTAGAATAATGACAAGAATGAATTTGTTAATGTTCTTATGTATAATATGGTCAAGAGTGGATGATTATGGTTGATTGACCAAATCAACAACAAGGTTGTATGCTCAAAATGCTGAATGTACATATGTACATGTACATATATTTTTAAAATAATAAAACAAAACTTCAGCCAACAGCAAAATTCGAACCTGAGACTTCACGCACAAGACTTTAGGAAAGCTTAAGGAAGTATCTACAAAGCACCTACATTATTTCAAGGCTAGATTAGCGTATTTATACTTCCATTTCATTGCTACCCCAGCGTTTATTTAAGAATATACAGTATGTGTACATTGTATGTATAAAGGTGGGTTCTCAATATGACACATAAACCAATGGGAGCATGCGTCATGAGTCAGATTAGAAAACATTTCTATTCTGACACATACTCCCATTGGTTTATAAAGCACTTCCAGTCATGACGCTAGCACATAAAAAGCAATATGTGTCATATTAAGACCCACCTTAAAAATGTGACGTGTAGTACTTACGTTGGTAGTATAGTACCATCATGAGATCCATCAACCAGTGACTGTATAGTATCAGTAATCTCATATCTTGATGCATAAGAGAAACACACATTAAGATATACCCTATAATAAAGGAATGGACAATACATAACTAGGGTGAATGTAAACATTGAAGGGGCGAGCATGAGCCATCAATTGACATTGTTTGATAAGAAGATTAAACTGAGAAAATGTGTCAAGCTAAACTTCTAATCAAGCTTCCATCAGACCCTGTCCTCATGGCCAGGGTCTGAAAGAGAAAAGACACCAACAACCAAAATAACCCAGTAAAACAGACAAGAATGTCCTGCCACTCTGAGATGTCTAAGAAACAAAACTATACTTTTAAATTCTAATCTCTTCTAAAAATCTTAATTCTTTCAATGAGAGGACTAATCTAGAGGAGTCAGAGATCAAACTGCTGTTAAGTTCTTTAGCCTTTAGGATGCTTTAGATAGCCCCTCTCTCTTATCTAGCTGTCAGAGTTTGTCCCATTTAAATGCCACCATCTTGCTCATTGTGACCACACCCTCGAAATTAATTTTGTCTGCGTGGTCCAAATCAATCAATAGTAGGGCCTATACTGATTTATACATTATTATCTTCCGTTCACAAAAAAGACGTAACCCAAAATAGACCTAAACAGATTAGAGTGGGTCTTGCTCATGCTCGCCCCAATAATAAATACATGTAGAGTGTAAAGTGTATTAATGATATTATTAATGTATTGGACCCATTGATTGTGTTTGCTATATGTTGGACTACTACCATGTACACTATGTATTTTAGGAATGTTGTGTCTATTGCATGAATAATTATCAGTATACTACTGAGTAAGGGAGCGATATCTTTAGTGTATACTACTATATAAACACTTCTCACTGTACTACTGAGTAAGGGAACACTATCTTTAGTGTCTTTAGTGCATACACTTCTCCCTGAACTGGACTGAAGGCAGTTTGTCCAAGCAGAGTATCAGGCTGTTTACACAGCAAAGGTTCACTTGAATTTGGTTTAATTTTGCATCGTTTTTACAGCGTTTTCAATGTGTTTACACAGCTGCGTTTTGACTGAAATAACTTTAATTAATTTTTAATAACAATAATTTTAATTAATAACTTGTAAAATAAAATGGCGGTAGACAAGTAAAACATGCTTCGAAAACAATTTTCTTTCTGAGAAAGCTTGCTATAATGTAGAAAATACGACTGGTAATGAGTATATTTTCTGATATATTACTAGGATTTAGATTTTTGTGCAGTTTTTTGATCATGTATTCGTTTTTAGCCGTTTACACGGAAACGCTACCCTTTTCAAATGTATGCGTTTTCAAAAGTCTCCACTTTGGAAGCCGTTTTTGTTTCTCTTTGTTTTCATAGTGTTTTTGCACGTTTCTGTGTAAACGGAAGGTGCAAACGCATACAAAAGTATTCGTTTTTGCTTGAAAACGTAGCCGTGTAAACATGGCCTCAGTTATCAGTTATACATGAGCATAGCTGATTGGGCAGTTTACATAAAGTAATTTATGTAATTATAATAAGTACATGTACATGTACTTACTTGTTATTGTTTTTAGTCATTGTCACAGCTCTTGCTACTGATTCTTGTACATCAGTTGGTAATAATTCTCATATCACCTAACACTCGTATGCACACACCATGATTATCAATTAGA